CAGTGATGTCCAATATATAGCAGTTGAAATCAGTATTATTTGTTACTATTTGTTTTTTTTTTAATACAAATATAATTTTTTTATTAATGTTCTTGATGATTTAGAGATCTTTATAAATGAGACACTAAAAGGTATCTGTATATCTATCTGTAATTATAAATATTTGTTTATTTTGCAACTGTTGCATTCTCAACAATAGGAACGCATTAAATAGACACAAATGGCATTGCCATTTATGTTTGTGCTCATTTCTAGAGAAAATATCAAAACCTAATGGAAGCCGTCGGGTCCTGCAGCTCCCACCCTTGTAGAGTATCCCCACCAACTTTAATAACAAAGTTACACCCTTGTATATACCCCTCCTCTGCAGTTACTGTTTGCTGGATTTTCTTCCTTCCCTCCTTAACCTATGTGTTCCCCCTTGTTCTGGTTCCTGTCTTTCCTTAATTAGTTATTTCTGGATTTATGCTTCTGTTGCCACCACTAGTTATTAAATCTGCAAGAAACCACCTCAGCTTCTGTCTCTGCATTTGGGTCCTCTACAGACCTCCACACAACCTGACACATAGAAATAATTTGTCTACCACAGAACATTCTCATCTCTTATACATTTATTCTTCCACGTATACATTCCACTCACACAACTACATTCTTCTCTGACAGGCATACATTATACCCTAACATGCATACATTATACCCTCTGAATGACAGTTTTAGAACTAATGCAACCCGATTCTGCAAATACCTTTGTTCACCAGGCGATCAAAGATACTTTTTTGGACAATGTTTATATTTTATCTGGTTTTCTGTCCGAATCAGTAATCATACAGGATTAAATGCTGAGGGGAAAGAAGAAAAGATATATATTTCAAATATAAAAAGAAAATCCATCAGTAAAATAATTTATCTTTGTGTTCTTCCTGATTTTTCTTCAGTGAACAGCTAAACAACGCATGAATATATTGACGAACACACCCTTTTCTGCGTGAAATTGCAAAAAAAAAAACGCTTTGGTCCCCAGGTCCTGCCTTGGTGCTTCAGGTCCCCATCAGCAGCAGTTTGCTGTTACCATGGCTTTAATGCCACACAAACATCATTTGACACAGAGACAACGAACAAAACAAATGAACATCAAAATGTGTAAATCAGCAGCAGTATGGAAAATGGTCCATTGCTGAGGAATGAAGCCCCCAAAAAGCAGGTCTAGTTTCCAAAACTGAACAGAAAGAAAGCAGAAGACGAGAGACATTCAATAGATGACCCAGTTTTTTAAGAAAGATTGGTTACCTGAGTAGTTTTAATTAGCATAAGATTATTGACTTGTTGAGTAAAATAAGCTAGCCTTCTGGTGGCTACAACCTTCTTAATTCATAATATGGTGAATTATGCTCCATATAATTCAGTCTCAATGTGCCATGCTAGGCAAAGTGCAAATATCTTGGAATTACAAAATTAGGCAGAGAGAACTCCTGGGTCAGGCTAATGTGTTAAAAATATGATAATCATATGTCAACCCTTTAGCAATGATTATTTCTTTTTTTATTTTAGTTTAAATTTAAAATAATAGATAATGTGTTGTTATCCGTCTTATCTGACTGAATATAAATGGAGCCATTGAGTTTAGTACATGTAGTATTTATTTTCCATATTTAAGTACATTTTCCTTTGATAACATACTTCTTTATAATGCATTTGTTTTTACTATTTCACATCATATAATGGATTAAGTCTAATTTTATGTTTTGTTTCTATTTACTTAAATTGTGGTAGAGGTACATTTCTTGTGCTTTTTTGTGATTTTAAAAATACCTTTCCACCACCAGACTGATGATGGAAAACATGTTATTGATTTCTGCCAGGTAAAAGGGATAGACAGTGACACTGTTATTCCTTTTTCAGACTGCATCCCTATCTCAACCCTGCAGGCATTTCTTATTCCAGGTCGGGCAGATTATATGAGATGATGCAACTTGGCGTTGGCAGGGCTTTTTTTTTTTTTTTACACATGAATAACAAAGATGTGTTGTTTCTAATGCTGGGAGCATGCTTCAGAGGCTAAATCATTTATATTTGGAGGAGTTCTTACTAGTAGGTAGGTCAACATCTTTTGGTATGGTTAAGAAAAGAGAAGAGATAAGGGGTTAGTGTATATGGGGGTGCATATCTGTATGACGCTCCAGTGGGCTGATTTTCTGTGCATGAAATGACTTGACATCCACTCGACCACCGAATGAGAGGCAGCGTGCGTGTTCTTTTCCTGAGAGGGAGAGTGGGAAAGAGAGTGAGAGAGGGAGAGAGAGAGACAGAGAGAGAGAAAGCGCGGAAGAGAGCAGCAACTTAGTTACTGAGTGTCGCTGCTGTGTCTCCTTCGACACAGCGGTTTGAAAGAAAAGCATCTGGCATTATGGTTGATCAGTGCTTCTTTCATCCTCTCCCATGCTTTAGTGACGACTGCATCTACATCCCTATTTCTGTTTCATTTCGAAGGATTAAAAATAAAAAAGCTGTTCAGAGGCACCAAGGAGAGACTCTACATCTTCGATGTGCATGAGGTACGTATTTTAAGCTGGAGTTGAAAAGACAATGATGCTGGATGTTTCCACTGAATGTAGGATGCTGAGTTGATGTTAACATTCTGCAATTATGGTTTCTATTGAAAGCTTTTGTTTAACTGCATTTTAGTGTCTAAGCAAGCAAATACAATATGGCTTCTCCTCACATACATTTGTTTTGTTATTAAGAGGTGCTCTGAATTCGCTTTTTTGTCCTTTGCACTGCTTGAAAAAGTTGCTTTCAGTTCAAACATAAGTTACCTCTTTATAGGAGCAAATCTTGACTCACGAGCTTTCTAATGTAAGGGTTGCTGCTACATTTGCATTACAGTGTATTTTTTTTTTCTTTTTTTATTCTAGATGACAGTGAGGATACCTTAGAGGGACTGCAAGCCTGGCCACGATTTGCAGGAAAATGCAGCTTTGGATTTCATATGTTTTGCTCGGTGCAACTTCAGTGGGCATTGTTGAGATGTCTGACCATTATGGGGAAATCTGTCAAGAGCTGTGTGCCTGTGAGGAAAGAGAAGGGATGCTTACAGCAAGCTGTGAAAGCAGAGGAATTGCAAGACTTTCAAATATAAGCCCACTACCCTTCTCTCATTATCAACTGCTCCTTACTGGGAATCTTTTAACAAAACTTTTAACTAATGATTTTGCTGACTACACAGGTCTAACAATATTACATCTAGGAAATAATAAAATATCAGAAATTAAAGCAGGGGCTTTTAATGGACTGAGGGGATTAAAACGATTACATCTCAACAATAACAAAATTGATGCCTTGAAGGAAGAATTTTTCTATGGCCTTGAAAGTCTAGAATATTTACAGCTTGATTATAATTACATCACCCATGTGGAGCAAAATGCCTTCAACAGACTTCAACATCTGGAGGTCTTGATTCTGAATGACAATTTGATATCTAGTCTGCCTGTAAACATATTTCAGTTTGTACCATTAACTCATTTAGACCTGAGAGGGAATCAGCTCAAAGTGCTGCCCTATACGGGTCTACTGGAGCACATGAACAGCGTTGTGGAGTTACAGCTGGAAGAAAATCCATGGAACTGCTCTTGTGAGCTAATCGCTCTTAAGACCTGGCTGGAAAGCATTTCATACACAGCTTTGATTGGGGATGTGGTTTGTGAGTTCCCCTTTCGGCTTCATGGTAGAGACCTTGATGAAGTTTCAAAACAAGAGCTATGCCCGAGGAGAGCCATTGCTGAGTATGAGATGCCGCCACCTCCGCATTTGGGAGTAGATTCAAACTACAGGACGACCCCAGCTCTTGGTGCCTACTTCACTGCATCTGGCATTGCAAGATCCTCATCAAGACCAACCAAGGGACCTCGTCAGTCTGCCAAATTAAAATCAAAACCCACCGCTCGAGTCCCATCAAATAAGCCACAGAATTATGGTCAAATTGTTTCTTATCAAACCAAATCTCCAGTGCCTTTAGACTGTCCAGCTGCCTGCACCTGCAATCTCCAGATATCAGATCTTGGGCTGAATGTGAACTGCCAGGAGAGAAAGATTGAACAGATCTCTGATCTTAGTCCCAAACCATACAACCCCAAAAAGATGTATCTCACAGGAAATTATATCCCAGTGGTGCATCGGTCAGATTTTACTGAGGCAACCGGATTAGATCTGCTTCATCTCGGTAACAATAGGATAGCTCGGGTAGATGATAGAGCTTTTGGTGATTTGACATATCTGAGACGACTATACCTTAATGGGAATTTGATTGACCATCTTAGAGCTGATATGTTTTATGGACTAGAGAGCCTACAGTTCTTATATTTAGAATACAATGTCATTAAAGAAGTAAATGCTGACACTTTTCAGCATATGCCAAAACTTCAGCTTCTTTTTTTAAACAATAATCTCTTAAAAACATTGCCAGAGGGTACCTTTAACGGCTTGACATTAGCAAGACTAAATCTCCGTAACAACCACTTGCGTTATCTTCCAGTAAGGGGTGTACTTGATCAACTCACAGCTCTTGTTCAAGTTGATTTGTATGAAAATCCCTGGGACTGCTCTTGCAGTATACTTGACTTGAAGATGTGGTTGGAGCAGCTCAGCATAGGGACAGTTGTAAATAACGTTATCTGTGGCTCCCCCAAGAAGTTGGCTGGAGAAGATATGAGATACATTAAGACAACTAATTTCTGCCCTAATAATTCTGATATACTTGCTTCTATGATTCCTCCCTCAGAGGAATCATTTCCAGGGAGCACTATCACTATAGAAACATCCTTAGACTCCAACACTCAGTTCAGCACCATCCCTTTGTCTGTAATGATTCTTGCCCTTCTTCTATTATTTATTGTGTCTGTGTTTGTGGCAGCAGGACTGTTTAAGGCTACAAAAAAAAGACACCAGAAGAATCAAAATGAGCAGAATGAATCAATGAATGCCTGCATTAGCTCCCTCAACATGGAGTATGGCCTTTACAAAAAGGGATCTATTCCTAAAATAAGAACATCAGCTGGTCATGTCTATGAGTATATCCCACCTCCCACAGAAGCCACATGCAGAACTGCTGCACAAACCCCTATGGACAACAAATCAGTAGATGGATTTAAGGACTTTGACGAGTTAAGCAGCGCCTTTCTGGGTAACTTAGATGAAGAGGCAGGCAGTACTGTAATAAGCTCTGAGTACAGCGCCACGACTCCAGAGCCTCTCAAGAAGCCCTCCACCCCTTACCAAGACGATGTATGCTACTATAGAGATGTACCCGAGCCTGACAAGAACCAACGCTATAACAATGCTTTACTTTGCAGGCATGGAGCACACTCATCAAATCAGTATACATCAGACTTTGATGCAAGAAACCAATATGTGCACCCAGAGAGCATACAACAGACAATACTGTATTGCACAGCACCAAGCTCTGTTTATGTAGAACCCAACAGAAGCGAGTACTGGGAACTGAAAGCAAAGCTTCATCTTGATCCAGATTACCTTGAGGTTCTCGAAAAACGAACTACATTCACACAGTTTTGAGACATTGGTCCTCCACATGTTCAGTTGCCACATTTGTGTGATATACTAAGTGAAATTAAAAAAGACTATTTTGTAAACTCAGAAACTACTTTGCAAAGACATTTATTGTGTTTCCGAGAAATATGCTTTATGAAGCGAGTGATGCAAGGAGAACATAATTAATTTTGAAGCATCACTTAACACTCCATTCCTGTGTGGTTTTGCAGTTTGGTTTGAGTGTGCAAATACAAGCATGAAACTATATATTCAGAGCTCTTATGACTTACCCTACCACAGATTTTACCCTGCAACAGTATCATTAATAATGATTTAGGAATCAGCTTTAAATCTCAAATTGGCTGCAGTTTATGAGTCGTAATAAACCACGCGGACAATATGTTCCTGACCCCCAAATAACTTTATATTATTTGGCAGAACAGGTTTTCTTTAAAAGGCAGCCCATTCTACGTGTTTTCCTGCTTCTTGATATGAGAAGCATGCATTCAAGTCTAGCTTTCATTCAATCTATTTGTAACATGATTAATTATTAATGGATATCTGCATTTGCTTTGTTTCTTTAACCAAAAGCATGAGTTATGAGTGCAGTGAAAGTCTCCATTCTAATAGAAACATGGGAGAATGTAAATTATGATATATATAATGATAATATTACACTAGCCTTATTTGTAGAGTGGGACTATTGTGCAAACACACAGCAGACAAGTTAAAACATTAATGTCATGATTAGAATAAAGTTAGAAGAAAGTAAGAAAAGCTACCTTTTGGTTAACATCTTTTCAAGCATTACATTTTACATTACAAAAAAAAAAAAACTTTAACACAGCTGATATACGTATGCTCACTTATCTTTGCTTAGAGTCTGGTCTAACTGACTTGGTGGTTCATTCCTTTTTATCAGAGTATTTTTGTAAAGGAAATATCTTATTGTTTTGTTGTTGTTTTTTACTTGCTGTTGTAGTTGGTAAATGCAATTTATTGTTCCTTTTTTATCTTTCTTCTTTCTATGATTTAAACATTTTTGCCACTGCACTATTTAAATGTTGCTTTGTTTTACAGTTTATACATTACGTAATAACAGCATTTACTTTTACTTTTAAGGTTTTTAATTTCTTTCTTTTTTTTTCAATTTTGTTTTGCAGAGTTCAAATCATTTATCTGGAGTGTGTTTTCCATTTGTGGTGATTTGGGCTGTTTGCTGCTTGTTTACACCTGCCGGTATTAACCCCCTCTGTGACAACTTCTCATGTGTCAATCAGCAAATCTTTAAGATTAGGTTGATATTTTTTGCCTTTAAAAAAAAAGTAACGAAAGAAAATTAGCAGTTCACTATATGTTTCTTTTGGCTTTTGCCTATTTACACATTGATGTATATCCATTTTTTTTTACATTTTGTGATTTCAACAACAAAGCAATAACTGGACATTTGAAAACAGTAACATGCAAAGAAAAACCTGTTTATTATTTCATACACACTCCTGTATTTGGTTTGTACATGTGCAGTGGTTACATACAGTGGTTTCCAAACTTTTCTTGCTGGACCCACCTTTTGGTAAACAAAAAATATTCACAGTCGACTGATTACCCCTAACCCAACTTTTCCAACAATTGAACAAAGAAAAGCAAACTAAAGTAAGTTAAATAATGTAATTCAATAAACTACAATCTCCTTCAAATTAGAAAATGACCACCTTTAAAGTGTAATCATTTCAATTTTAACTATGTATTTTAGTGTGTAACATTGCAATACATCTTAAAAAGAACATCTCTCAAGATGGGTCAATAATTTAATTAGGCCCTCCTTTGAAACTACACTGGGCCCACCCTAGGGAACCCCTCACCACCCTCCCCCTCCTCTTATGGAACTACTGGCTCAGTCAGACCATGGCCGTATAAATAGAAATAATTGCAGCTATAGTGTTTTGTTGGAATAATTTTTTAAAAAGAATCGCAACAACCTAATTGTTAAGTAAATACCCCTTAATTTTAATCAAATTGTATTTCCAGTAATTTATTTTCTATAATTCTACGTATAAATTTGACCTTTGTACCAAGAATCTTAAGAGGAGTTTTAAAACTATTTGGTATTATGTGAATACATAGAATGGAATTCAATTGTGCGTATGTTCATAAGAAATAGCTAATACAATTTTTTTTACCAAGTTTGGTTCTAAAAATGTTTTTTAAGCGCAAAAACATTCTGTGTTAAGAACACTATTTCTGGATTGCCATCTCTCTTGCAGAACTGATATTTTAAGCTTCGCGTGTGGTTTTTGCTACTCATATTCAAACCTGGTGCATAAATAATGCACTTTGCAGAACCTTTCATTTCCTAAAAAGACTCTATTGTTAGTATGGATCATTTATAATTTACTCACTTATTTGAACATAATTCAAGGTTATCTCTGCTGCAATCAGCTGATTAAACACCACTGTCCTTTCTATGATAGAGTATAATTTGCTCATCTAAATTAAGCCTAAATATGCACTGAAAAAGTGCTTTATGGTTTAGCAGCTCTATTTCATGCTTAGTCACAATCAGCAGACTGAAATCTTATTATATGGTCAATACTAAATGTGTAACCCATCTATGTATTGTTAGTACTTGATTTTTTGTTAATTAGTCTATTAAGATTTAATTAATACCACAAACCTCATATTTGAGCCCCTTCTTCCATTTTACTCATTTACTCTCTCCTTTTCTAAAATATAGCATTCTAAAAGATTATATTTGTTGCTTTAACTGTTCTCTCGCAGCAAAAAACTCACATATTTAAATGTCTGCCAGGATTTTTCTCTGGAGTTGACAGGTTCTACCTGTGCATGAGTAGATGCTCTCTTCCTAAAACCAAAAGTGCAAAAATGAGAACAATTGACTACTTAAAACTGCTCTCTCTATACATGTGTGTTCATGGTTGTGTGCTTTCATTGATTGATTGATTTGTGACCTGCACAGGTTGTACCCTGACTACTGCCTGTGCCCCTGCAAGGCATAAGAGGATGCAGAATATTGATGCACCAGTGTACATGTGTAATTGTTATATAAGTTATTTCTCTTGCAAAACCAGATACTGGTATGTTGGTTGGAATTGGGTCTATTTTATGCTGTTTCAATATTCATTCTATTCAGGCCTCTGGCCCAGGTGAACATATGTTGTATACCTATTTTTATATTAGCAAAGATGAACGTTTAGATTCTTCTTTTATATCTGTTATTTGTTTTTTGTTTTTTTCTTTATTAACACGATTTAAGAAAATGCACTTATGATTCTGCTGATCAAAGATGATGTCACTTTTGTAAATGCACAATACAGTATCGTGTTTATAGCCATAGATTTGGTCTGATAAATGCATAAAGAAGGGTTATGTATTATTACAAAAGCTTATACTATGCATAGATATAGATCACACTCAGACAATCTGCTTTACTCTCAGTTACAATTCCGCCTGTTTGGCTGAGAGGATCTCTCTCAAAATATAGCAAATTTACTATTAATTCAGAAATTAACCTCTCTATTGTGAGAGATATAAACCATGTATAAACATCAGCTAATAGCAGTTAAAAAAAATAAAAAGAAAAAAATAGAAAAACTCCATGTTAATACAATAAAGTCACCTCTATGCAAAAGGCTTCAAAGGAAACTGAGCACATTGTTCAGTCATAATCTATCTTTATCATCTGGGGAACTAGGGTGAGCCAGGAAATATGACTTTCCCTGAGAGTTAAATATACTGTAAAGTTAGTTTTCAAATGCACTCAACTTGTTGTCATAACTCAGCCAAACAAAGGAGAGGTTCCATCTATCCTATCTGCATGACAAGTTTTACTTTGCAGCATGACGCTAAGCAATGAGAAATAATTAATTTGTTGCCTTTATCACATCTCATAGAATTTCTTATGTAGGGTTAAAACAACTGTGCTAAAATATCCAAAGTTAATACATAACATGCACCCCATAGGTCTGACCCATTTTTTCATTTCCTCTAAGAACACCTCTATAATACTATAAAAGTGGAAAAACACAGTATACTAGTAGAAATACAACATTCTTGTTGTAGAGAGTTACTAGGTTTTGGTTGATTGTATAATTTCTCACTGTGTGCTATAACCTACACATTTTAAAGCAGCAAAAAGCAAAAAATGTACATCTCAAAGTTTTGCTTCCTAGCGCCTTTTAAATTTTACAAGGGATGTCCTGATCCGATCCCAGGTAACGTTTCTGTATCCTGATTAGAAGTTTTTAAGTTTTTTTGTTTTCATTGCCAGAATTGAATTTTGGGACTGAATTGAATTCCTGATACCTGTTGGTGTTATGCTGTGATTTTCTGAGCCTCACTGCCATCCTGTAGTGCAGTTCCAATGCAGTCCCTACTTTCAAAATCCCATCTTATTTTTGTTTTTATGGCTTGAAAACTGTTAAGTAGGCGTTGCACATTACTTTATTTATCAAAAACAATCTTGTTTATTACATGCATGTAATACGGTTCAAAACATGACAAAATCAATCCTATTATCTTTAACATCAGTCCTTCCACAATCCAAAGTTGTCTTAGTTTATAAAAAAAACAAAAACAAATTGCTTTTTTGAAGCTTCGGTGGCTGAAATTTAACAAGTAATTATACATCAACATTAGCCTAGCACCTTGTTCAGCATGAACATTTTGTTAACACTAGCGAAATATGACTTTACTTAAGATTGTAGCTGAATGTTCACTACCAAATACATATGTACTCTGACTTAGTATTTGCAAATGCCTGCTTTTAAAAGTATTGGATCCATTACTACCAGGGACAAAACTTTCTGATTAGGACATCCCTAATTTTTATTTACATTAAGGTTACTTAATTTTTTTACAAAGCAGCAGTGTCAGAAAATGTGATTGCTGTATATAGCAGCAGTTTTTTAAGTTTTTTTTTATTCACCATGTTGTTATAACTGACAATATGCAATTGTTTTGTGGTTCCAATTAAGACTATGTATATTAATAAGAAGCCAATTGTGCTAGAATAAAATGTTTCTGTGTGTGAATATGTGCCAATGTTTAAATGAAGAGAGGATATTTGGATATTTTCTGATTCCTATTACAGCTCCTCTGTTTGCCTGTGTTTGCTTTTTTTGTTTTGTTTTTATATATATAATAATGATGTTTCGGTGTCAGCCTAATTTGTAAATAGAACACTTTATCAGCATTTTTTCAGTGCAAAGTTGTTCCACTTTTAAAGGCAAAAAAACCCTTGTTTTTTCTATTTGGAAAAAACACAGAGCAACTAGGAATATGTGGGATAAGTATAGCTACAGTGTGCCGTTTTATTTAGTAGTTAGCTAATGAATAAAAGATATGCATTCATTTGAGCTGCAGTTGTCTTCCTTCAATCTTCAAAACCATGTTTTGTTTGATATGTCATAGTGCACAGGGAGGACAGATTTCTATTGTTAAACAACCCCCTCAGCGATTTTATGAACATTCCATAACTGAAAATTCTATTAAAATATTCAAGACACCCTCTTTTCCACAGTTAAACAAAAAGAAGTAATAAAAAAGGCAGTGATGCATGTTAATACAGAGACTGACTGTGAGCTTCAACAGTCAATGAGGTTATTTCAGAAACCTCACAAAGAAGATTGGAAAGCCATTTGCAAAACTGTTTTCATTTAATACACCATCCGTTAGCAAACAAGAAAGAAAATTCAATATAATGTAAAAGATCTGACCTTATTTTGCTGTGTGGTGTGCTTGTAGACAATTAAAAGTCCTAAGTTTATACTTGCCTAAAGAAATATCCAATTACAGTACATGATACACAAAATAAAATAAAAAATCAAGTGTTAAAGATGCAGTTTCAACGTGAAATTTAAAAAATTTCCTGTACAGATATATGCATTTTATAGGTTATAGATAGATAGATAGATAGATAGATAGATAGATAGATAGATAGATAGATAGATAGATAGATAGATAGATAGATAGATAGATAGATAGATAGNCAATGGTTGTAGTAAACAACAAACAACGTATTTGGCTTTTTTAGGCATATACTTCTTTTTCAAGAATTGTTAAGTAAATAAATGACTTATATTGCCCTAGTTGCAAATTCGGTTCTTGAACTTATCTCTGCAGTTTCCATGGACTTACAATGGGTCAATCAGCTGCTTGACTGATTAATTCTCTGCTTGCCCAGCCTATAATTTTGGGTGACGATGTGTTAGCAAGAGTGCTGACGTATGATGATTTGAGACTGCTCTTTGCAATGTTCAAAGCATTGGATATCTTTTTTTTTTTCCTAAATGAATAAAAAGGAATTTTTTTCAAACAATTTTAGAAACTTTTGACAAAACAACAATAAATAAATCAACCAAATACACACAAAAATGTGTGTGTATGTGTGTTGGTGTTAATACTCGTATTTTTTGTGAGACCTTACATACTCATTCATTTTTTTTTCCTTCAGATTGATGGTATAATGTTGCTTTGATGCTTCAAGAGCCCAGCTTTGCTAGGGAGAGGGAAATTAGGGCAGATCTACATTATGTAAGCTTGAAGAGATGTGTCAGGCAGTGTGAAGATGGCATATGACTGTAAGCACTAACCAAAGGACAAACACTAGCTTCTATTGGCCGGGCAAAACGTTAGAAATGTAGATGATTCAAACCTCCTTGACATTTCTGCCTTTGTGAAGCGAGAAAAAAAATATCTGTAAAAATCTGTGCGTGGTTTGCAGTTGTTAGTCTCAGACTGTGTGTCTGTCCCTGAAGATTTCTCAGTCTTCTTTTTCCCTGAACAGCAATCCTGTGTTTCTCTCCCTTTCACTTTTCTCTGTGTAAGTGTGTGTTTAAATGTGTGTGTCTTAGCGCATAAATTATTGACTCAATGTGCATTCATGCTTGTCTCAAGGACTTCAGTAAACAACATGGAAATAACATCATTTTAACCATTCATCTTTCAAATATTTTTGATTTAAAAGCTTTCCAAAACTGATGGCCTTCAGTAATAATTGATGCGTTATATTTTAGACATAAACTTCCATTTATCTTTGTGCAGTTTTCTTGTTAAATCATGTATGACACTGTGACGTCCACTGGATAAGGATGATTTATGAAATAAATTACATATTTTTGGGCTGGGGCTTTAGGGATTCAGAACTACTAAATATCTTTAAGAGTATTTGCAGCCACTGAAAACAGTCTGTGTAGAGCCTGTTAATATTTATGAAGGCTGATCCAGGCTTATGTCTGCCAACCTAAAAAAGTGAAAAAATCCCCCATCATCCTCACATTTATAGCGCTCATACTGAACACGAAAAGGATATTTCACATCAAGAAGAAAAAAGAAAAGCTTTAGCAACTGGCAGAAAAATATGCCATATTGTGAAGAAGGTGAATTGGTGTTTATAAGAAGCTTTCATAGCTCAGAGCAACAAAGTCTTTATAATAATGTCTGAGACTTGTTGTTGTTATCAAGAAAATTACCCCAGTAATCCTAAATTTTGGCAGAAAAAAAAAAATTATAATCTGCCATGATTGGGAACGTTTTGGAATACAAAAGAATATTCTGTGTAAATACATGTATTTGTCAATATGAAACAGTTTATGAATCACTGTGTGTCTATTATCAGATTATATGTTTAAGCTATTAAACAATGGGTGAAATGCAAAAATAACAATAACAATACAAGAGCCCCTGTGATGGACTGGTGACCTGTCCAGGGTGTACCCCACCTCTTGCCCATAGAAAGCTGGAGATGAGCACCAGCACACCTCGCAACCCCACTTGGGATGAAGCGTGTCAGAAAATGTATGTATGGATGGATGGATACAACAGCACAACAACGATTAAATAAATCACTCAAAACATACACCATATTGAAGGTTAAATTGCATAATAGACTTGTCAGTCTATGAAACAACACTCAGGTGTTCTTGCTTAAAGGCGGGCATACTTTGTATAATTTTTGCTGTTTTTGGATTTTTTTCATTTAGTGCAAGATTTTTTTTTTTGGATCAGGCAGAATTTTAGCCTCATTGTGTGTCCTGCATTAAGTAGTATACACGGGTTAATGAGGGGCGATTAGCCTTCTGATTGAGATTTGAACGGTCAGATGAAAGTCAAACATATCTTAATTTTTTTAAGTTTTCCCTTGAGATCAAGATTTTTGTTCTTACACTCCTCTAATCTGGAATAATCTCCCAGAAAACTACAGAAGTAGTTTAACCCCATGTTGTTTTAAATCAAGATTAAAAACCTATTTGTTATGGGTGGTCTTTGACTTTGCTATATCAATATTAGTCAACTTTCAGTTTTATTATGAATTACTTCTCTACCTGTCTAATCACCTTCATAACCCTAAACAAACGTTCCTTTTTTCTTGTGAAACCCAACAGCTCTGGTCCCATGAGACAGCTCTTTTTTCTGCATGACAAAATAATAAAATATTTCTCCTCCCATGAAATAAAGTAGTTTACACTTATTTCTTCAATCCAGTTTACTGATATTATCTCCTATTCTAAAGGATAACATGTTTATAACTGAGTGAGGTTTAATAAATGTCTCATTGATGATTTGATGGGATAAATAGTAAAGTTTTATGATGGCCACTCCAGAGCATTGACTTTGCTGTCATTTATACCCCCATTTGTGACCAAATGGCTTTGGGTCATTATCAACTTCAGAAGACCCACTTCAGGCTGATGTCTCCGGATATTGCTTCAATAATTCTATTAAATGTTGATGCCTCATAATTGCATCTCTTTTAGGAAGCGCATCGGTGTCTTCTGCAGCCCAGCACCCACATTTAATGATCCTGCCACCACTTTCCTTCATAGTAAGGATGGTGTTTTTTAGGCCTGCAAGATTCCTACCATTTTCACATCTCTACAGTTGGCTGGTAATCTTTGTAGGTCACTGGCAACACAGCCATTTTTCGCTCATATTAAAAAAATATTGCACTTGTAGTTTAAACTCTTATTTAGAATCTATGTAGATCCTGCCTTAAGTGTGCTATTTACAAAGCTTCGCTATGTGTTCTAGTCCTTTATATTTAAAATAAGCAATAGGTATAACTTTAGATACATTAATAATATAACTATATCATAATTTCACATTCCTGAACTGTTAAAACAAGTAAAGAACAGCAAAACTTTTTAGGCCATCACCTAACCTTATTTAAAATGATTGGTAACTGCAAGTTAGTTGTCTCAAAAAAAGAAAAACGAAAATTGCCAGCAGATGATCAACTAAATTATTAATCAAATTCTGAAAGTAAATATATGGATTCACTGTAATTTACAGTAAAAAATGATATCTCTCTACTACTAAACTCACAATTGCCAAATATCATATGGCAATGCCCTGTACATTTCAACTATGTTTTCTACAGTAAAATTCTGCCCACCAGAGCTGCTGGCATTTTACTTAAATGTTTTTACAGTTTAGAAACCAGGACCACCTTCTTCAGAGTTCATAAGGCCATAAGTACTTAAATTGCTTTCCCTAAAAAATCATGAATTACCTCCCCAGGTTTCTCACTCCATCCTTTTCAATTGACTATCTTCAATTGACATCATTCACGTCGCTGTACACTGGTTCTCTTTCTCTGGTTGTACTCCGTTAATCCAAATAAAGTCTTTCTACTCAGATCAATCCCCAATCCCTGCTGTGTATCAGGGCTCAGTCCTGGGACCCCCACTTTTTACTGTCTATCTTTTGTCACTTGATAACATTTTTTTGGATTGCTACCATCTCCCATACCCTTAGATCTTCCACTTCCATCCACCTTGCTGAGCTTCCTGCCCCCCTTGCCACCATGGGAAGGAGAGCTTTCTCCCGCTCTGCTCCAAAACTCCAGAATTGACTCCCGCCTCGGGCCTCATCCTCAGCACCCTAATTTGGGGGACAGGCCTCTCCAGCCTAGAACTACCTGCTGATGCAGTTCTACTGAAATTCAACACTGACAAAGTACCACTCCAGGTTGAGATCTCTTTACTGTTGACACTTGGGATAATCTATATTTCTATCTGATGTTGGTATTGAACTAATTTCTGTTTGGCTGGCACAAGGATTTTTTTCAGGAGTTATTAGGTGGCTTTTTTCGCCGACAGTTGTTCTTTCTTATGATGCAAAATCTATTTCCTGATCAATTCAAAAAAAGAAAAATAATTTAAAAATTCTAATTTTTATTATATATCACATTTGGCAAATAAATATAATTTCAATGTTAACTGACTTTAGACAGATAAAGGTTTAGCCTTATAAAATTTGCTAGAAAAAACATATGTCACTCATGTAAATATTTGGTTTAAGCT